ATTGTCATGCTTTCTTTCTTTATTAAGACTCCCTGTATTATTCCATTCTTTGTCCATGCTTGGCCTTTTTTACCTCCCTTTTGCTCTATTCATTTCCACTCATTATGCTGATCTCAGTTTAAATTAATTTGGCCAAGGAAGCCTATGTTGGGAATCTCGAGTTGTGTGCCTACCCAGCGACGCTGGATTGCCTAACTACTCAACCTCATTTGTGTTAAGACTTCTTCTATGAGACAATATCCCCAAAACATTTGTATTTCTCCCATCCCAGCACTTATTCCATTGTTTAGAAATGCCTATTTAATTGTATCTCTCATTACACTGTAAACTCCACAAAAGCAGGAGTTTTGGCAGTGAATGCTTTATATCTAGAAGAGTGTTCAGTTCTGATTTGTACTTCCTGTTCACTCTGGTGTTATCTTGTCATGTGCTTATTGGCTATTTGTGCATCTTCTCTTATGCAGTGTTTATTCAAATTGTGCACTTTTAATTAAGGTGTTTGTCTCCAAATTGTTGAATTTTAAGATCTATCTGTCTCTCTATCTCACTATCTATCATCATCATCTGTTGGATACGAGTCCTTCATCTCCTATGCATATTACAAATTTTTTCCAGTCTGTGGCTGGCTTTATCATTTTCTTAATAGTCTCTCTCAAAAAGGAGTTTTAAAATTTGATGAAATCTCATTTATCAATATTTTTTCTTTCATGATTTTTGCTTTTTGTCCTAGGAAATGTTTGCCTACCCCAAATCATGAAGATTTTATCCTTTGTTTTTATTATAGGTTCATCTTTTATGTTAGTTAAGTTATCCATTTCACATTAATTTTTCATTTTTCTTTTCATACAGATTCTAGTTTTTTCAGCAACATTTGTCAAAAGACTATTTTTCCCATTGAATTATTTTGCCATTTCTATAAAAAATCAATTAAAGTAAATCAATCAAATACGTATTTATTTCTGGACTCTAGGTTACAGAAATGACCAGAGCTCATGAGATCATGTAGGTGAGCAAGTCAGCTAATATGTGAAGACAGAGACTGACTAGCAAAGAATATTAGACTGCAGCAGAAACTGAGAGGAGACAGGGAAGAGTACTGCTTTATGATCTTGCAAGTAGCCATCTTTTCTTCCTTTATTCTTCTTGTCTACCTGGAGTAAATCACCTACAATGTAGGACAATAATTTTTTTTTTCTGGAACCTAATGGATTACTTCCAGGAAGACATAACTAGATTATTTAGAACACGGGATCCATTTAATAAAATACAAGGGTGTGACACCTCTATTACATTTTCTTTGGGGGACAGGTAAACGTTGGGACAGGTGCATTTTATGATTTTAGCTTTCATGGTGTGCTTCTTGGCCCTGCTGAAGTCTCCAATTAGATGCATATAGCTATCATTACATTAGAAAATTTTCATTCAAGCACTCTAGATAAGTATAGATGAAACTGTCATAAGAAAAGGCATAATCAGGGTAATTCACATTCATGGTAACTCCTAAAGCTGAGAGTGAATGCATATCAAGAATAATAATACAAGACTAATTGATCTACATGGATAAAAGGGATAAAATGGATCCATATTTGCACCTACATTGGTTTCACATCATATGCTATTTGAATTCACCGCTCACTTTAAAATGTCTTTGAAAGGTGCTATTTGTTCAATGATTACATTTTAAAATAGTACTAGAGCCTTGTCTGAACCCTGTAGCCCCTAGCAGATTCCAGAGAAGATAGAAGAATTCTGAGCATTTTACTATATGATAAAGGTTTTCATTTCATTCGTCAAAAATAAACCCTATATTTTCAAATAAATATTGCTCTTCTACAAGACACTACTGTCAGGGATCCTCACGTTGTGTTAGATGAAAGCATCTTTATGTCTTGGCACTGTCTTCTGTATTAACCATTTCTATAAGGCATTGCTGATAGCAGTTGAAAATGCACTTCCTGAAATCCAGCATGTACTGTACCATCCTGAGAGTCTAAACCACCTTATAGGTATAGTTGAACACTACTTGTACATACAATGCAATGATCATTTTAATATCAGAATCATTGTGTCCTTACGCTTCTTAGGCTTTTGTATTACATGTAACATTTTTTGTTTGCATCACTTTTGCGGCCATTACCTTGTTCTGAGTCATCTTGTAGTTATTTGGAAGTTTTATTTTTTAAAATTCATTAGTAAACTTAAATATAAATACTGCATTCTACGTATCTCTGTATTCTCCAAAGCTTTAATAAAGTACCATGAATTTGATTATATTTAAAGTATATTTGTTGAGATGATAGTTTTACATATATATCAATAAAGACCAGGATGAATTCCTTAAATATATATAAATCATATCATCAACCTTTCTTTCTAGTTGCGTTGCCAGGAACACAATTAAGCTCATGAGCTATCCAATTCTCAGTAATGAGAAGACAGGTTTGACAGTGTGGGATGATTAAAATGCTTAATGTTCAATTAGCCTTCTTGGATTAAGTCTAGTAAAGGAAAAGGTAGGTAATTTAAAGTTGTATTATGGAAAATATTATTTTACAAAAATCTTAAGAGGGCAATTTGAAAAGGACATTGATTGCTCTAAACTTAAAATATCCAAGGCATCATTTTGAAACTACAAAGACCAGCTAAAAGGGTTATAAATACACTGAAAGTGAAAAGTACAGACTAGAAAACTGAAAAATGCAACAAAATTCGATATGAAGAATTTATTTAATCTAGCAGAAATAGGAAAAGGTGGACAATATAAATGACTCCTAAATCTACAGTGACATCCATTATCACAAATTACCAACATGAGAAATGCTGCAATACTAAATGTAATTTTCTTGAGTCATTACATTTCAAGTACATATCACATAGCTAGTATATAAAAATATGGATGTATAAAATGTGAATGAATTTTCCCCACTGGGAAGCAAAAGAACTTATACCTTTTTGTGAGGCGTTATGAGAATGAAGTCAGCAATCAGCGGTAGTAGAGCTGGGGGGTGGTGGTGGGGAGGTTGTCAAGGAGAAGGGAGTGTGTGTGTGCGTGTGTGTGTGTGTGTGTGTGTGTGTGTGTGTGAGTGTATACCTACCGTTAATTGAATGCACTTCCAGAACTTGGGAACCAGCTCTGAATATGAACTAGGTGAAATTTTCTATCATCAGAAATAACCTTTTTTACAAAATGGCTTCTGAATATGCTTCTGCTAAGACAAGGGTAAACATTTTAGTAAATTTTTTTTTTTTAAAGCTTCAGAGTTGCATCCTGTTTCACAGAAGGTGCACTTTGGAAGGGATCTAGGTGGTCATTGAGTTCAACTAGCTACATAAACACATGAATTATTAAAAAGTGCAGTGATCTATCTGCAAATACTTAACACAGTTTCATTCATCCTAGAATTCTACTCTCTAATTTTGAACTATTGTAAATACTCTCCTGAGATAAAATCCATATTCTCATATATTGGCTCTATTATGTCCGATAGACTGATAGAGTTTAAAACTAACGTTGCACCTGCATTAATGCCTTTTAAGTATTTTCGTTATCTCTAAAACATTCTAGTAATCTGGCTGTTTCAAACTCCTAGTGTAATATAATTTCTAGTTTCCTCATAATCCTGGTTGCTTTCAACTTGTTCCCTCTCTTTTGAAAGAATTCTCAATTGTCTGTTTCTTTATATTGTGGTGACTTCTACTGCAATAGAAACTGGACAAAGTATAAGAAGAGCTTATTCATGTAAGAAGACGTGTTCGCTTTCTATAAATATGCAAAATTTTAAATTTCCATAGTAATCGGTTAAATGCTAATTAAAAGAAGACAGCCTTGTTTTGCATACATAAAGTCGGCAAGGTTGAAGTGCCCCATCATTTTTGGCAAGGGTTCAGGGAAGCAGCCACCACAGTATGCTGATGCAATGAAAGAAAAAAGAATCAGAGAAACGTTCAAAAATTCATTAACAAAACTGTTTAGCATATAAAGAAAAGTGACAAGGGGGAAATCGTTAAATAGCTTAGGGCACAATGTAGCTACTGAATATGTTTTAGGATAATTTAATGACTTTGAGAAAATGCTTGTAGTTCTTTATTTAGAAGACACAGCAGGCTATAAAACAAAATTATATATGTATTTTGATCGATAATATCTATAGAAAAATACTGAATGAATAGTGGGCAGTGCAATAATAGGTATCCTACTTTTCTGTCCTCAATGTTTTTGACAAAGAAAATACATTATCTGTCTATTCACTCACTGGAAAAAAACAAGTTTTGCCAGGCATGGTGGTTCACGCCTGTAATCCCAACTCTTTCGGAGGCCGAGGCGGGTGAATCACTAGAGGACAGACGTTCGAGACCAGTTTCACCAACATGGGGAAACCCCATTTCTACAGAAAATACAAAAATTAGCTGTGTGTGGTGGCGCATGCCTGTAATTCCAGCTAGACAGGAGGCTGAGGCAGGAGAATGGCTTGAATCCAGGAGGTGGAGGCTGCAGTAAGCCAAGATTGCACCACTGCGCTCCAGCCTGGGACACAGAATGAGCCTCTATCTCAAAAACAAAAAACAAAAAACGTGTTTTACAAATAATTCCAGAAGTTTTCTGATCAGTCCTGAACCTTGCTGTTTTGTTCTTAGACTCTTCTGCGTGTATCAGGGTCGTGGTGACCTTTTCATTGCTATTATCTTCTATTACAGTGTTCTAAAACCTCCAAATATTTTTCATGACTACTGCTATTAAGTCATGCTGCTGTCTTTTCAAGCCTTTTTGTTTGTTTTTACATTCGTTCCTATCAAATTTCATTTGATTTTGTTGAGTCCATATGTTGTGCTGTTAAAAGTTTTCATTTTTTTCTGTTGCTCTTTATTGAACAGCCAGGCACAGTTATGCATATTTCGCTGATTCATTTGCACGACGTTAGTGTCCTCATCTGACATTAATGTTGTTTTATCCATCAAAGACTGTGGAGTATTCCCCTCAACGTTTTTTTTTTTTAAACTAGGAAGGAAACTCATCATAATCAGCATCACCAAAAGACGTGTTGTCCAAACCATTTTAATTTGAAGGAAAACTACCATTGACTAAGGAAGACCTTTCCAAGTAAATCTGATTGTATATGTTCTACTTCTGGAGAAATGTAGACATTTGTAGGAAAATTATTTTGAAAGATTATACAGATATTTAAGTGATTTTATAATCATGGAAAATGGCATATTTGAAAAGTGTTATCAATATAGAACAAGAACTCTCAAGAATGCATGGCGTAAGGTGATGCTGGCGTACACCATATGATTGTATTAGTCAAAAATTTTGCCCAGGGACTTAGGGACAGTGAGAGTCACCACTCTGATTAAACTAAACAATTTATCCCTGTAAAGCACCACAGAATATTTTTTATCATGAATTACAACTCTTAGAAAGAGATTTAAACCTATGTCATTTACCAACTAGGCACTAAAGTTTCTTGTCCTTAAAAGAAATTTCAATTGATCTGAAAGAAGGTAAACATTGGCAGATTGTCTTCTCTAATTATATTGTTTTTAGAGTCCCAGCTAATCTCCCTCAATGGACAAACTAAGAAAATTTATATGCTAACATGCGAAATACTTTCCCCAAGGTAGCAAATAGTTTCCTATTAGGTGAAAAAGAACTCTAGGATGCAAAATTCTATTAGTGTTAAGGGAGAAGGATTCCTAGATATCTTAAAGAAAATGATGTCAAAGAGTAGAAAGTCTTGGGAAGTGAAGAAGAGTGAGGGAGAGAATGAATATAAGGTTCTCTTTTCAGAGAAATATGCCCTGTGATGTGGTGTGTCTAGTCTTTTAAAGGCATATTAGTACCTTTATTAAGTTTATATGTCAATTTTAACAAAGAAAAAAGACGGATGAGAGAAATTCCTAAATTTAAGATTCAAGAAATAGCAATTATATTTGATACAGTAAAAAATATACGTAGTACTGCATAGTACTGAAGACCAAAGGAGAGTTGAAAAAGAAAAGGCTAATCTCCATGACATCTTGCAAGGGAAATAGGCACAAAAAGAAGGGGTTAATCAGAGGTGAGGGCGCATCCATCCTACTTTAACCATAGATCACTAAGACCTTAAAACACATTTTACTTCTATTGTGGGTAGAGTTCAGTCCCTTAAAAGTTTCTCGTGTACCAGTTTCTCTCTTGCTTCCTTGGGCAAAAGAAACCATATTCTCTCTTCTTGATATAATATACCCCAGAACAATATATTGTTTCTTAGTTTATTCCTGTTCAGGTGTAGGTACTTATATCTATTTACAATTTTTTTTCCTCAAGTGTTTCTAGTGCTTGTACAAGGATTATCAAAACAACTCACCCATAGAGTTGCACAAAACTCAGTGTTTTCTTTTTTCGCTGTATGTCATCATGACTAAGAATATCATGGCAGAAACAGCTACATGTTCATCAAACTCTTTTCCTACACATTTACACAGCATTGTCCATCCCAGGCCACATGAGTGAGGCTGGCCAATAGAACGTGGGTGAACTGATATACTGTACATCACTTCCAGACTTGCCCATAAAACCTTCCAACACAAGATCTCTCTTGCTGTTTCCTCTTTAGCAGGCCAAATAGAGAGGACTCAAAGGACCTGGAGGAAGCCAAAGCCACGTGATGGAAGGTGCCTTTGTCTCTGAGTCACCCTTGGAAACAAGTTGTTGGAGAGGAACATCTATGTAGAATTCATGTTTTGGAGAGAAACAAATCTTATTCTGTTAAGCTACTGAAATTTGGGGGGTTATTGGCTATATCTGTTAGCCTCTCCCAAATAGGTATGGACTCTGGGCCAAACTGCCTTGGTTCCAATGTCATTTCATCAAAAGCTGTGTGATCATGGGCAAGCTATTTAATTTCTCTAGTGCTTCAATTTCCTTATATGTGAAATGGTGATAGTAACATTACGTACCTTACAGAATATTGGTGGAACCGAATGAGATGTACAGCCTTTTAATAAGCCTGGCATAGGCTGGGTGCAGTGGCTCATGCCTGTAATCCCAGCACTTTGGGATGCCAAGGTGGGCGGATCACAAGGTCAAGAGATCGAGACCATCCTGGCCAACATGGTGAAACCCTGTCTCTACTAAAAATACAAAAAAATTAGCTGGGCGTGGTGGTGTGCACCTGTAGTCCCAGCTACTTGGGAGGCTGAGGTAGGGGAATTGCTTGAACCCAGGATGCGGAGGTTGCAGTGAGCTGAGGTCACGCCATTGCACTCCAGCGGGCCCCCGGTTAGGGAGGGAGACTTTTTCTAAAAAAAAAAAAAAAAAAAGCCTGGCATATAAGAAGTTATTATTTCCGAAGATGACTCTCATTTTGAGATCATTTCCAAATACGGATCTCTTACAGAGTTGGATAGATAACTCTAAGCTGATTTGTTAAAAGAAAAATTATCCCAATTTGACATTCAACTGCAAGAGTATTGATTTTTGCAGAAAGAAAATAAGAGCCGAGGAAGAAGGAAAGTAAGAAATAAGGAAGAGAGGAAAGAAGGAAGACTTCTTCCTTTTATACAGCTTATGTGCTAACCCAACTTTGTTAATATGTCTGGCATAGCAAAAATGGAAACATATGTCAGCATCAGGTAGTTAATATGGACAAAGCAAATTCCAAAGGCTGACCAGCATTTTATCTTGTTATTGTTTATGATAGTATCCTGGATATGTTTCTGCCTTGGATATCAAGTATATTAAAAATCCCATGCCCTTTTTTTTCCCCTCTGGCTTTGTTACCATATCCTTACTTGTCCTGTTGTAAAACAAACTGAAATATGCCAATAGCCCTTTGCCATTTTGTATGCTTTATTCTAAGATAGTGTTTACAAATAAAGCACTATAATGCCATAAAAACTCTCCATGAATGTACAACTGCACATTTATTTCTTCTAAAAATAGATAAGTTTACTGGTTTAAAAGTGAATGAGAAACTAGAGAAAAAAATCATGGGAACTCAGGAAAATGGGTGAAGCAAAAACCGTACCGTATGTAATAGAAATGGCTCAGTAGCAATGACAACAAAGCTAAACACAAGGAAACTAGTACTTTGTAGATTAGGTAACAAAAAGCTGTAAAATTGCCTGCTTTTGGTGGCTTTGGTGTTTCTTAGAAACAACTCTCACAACATAGGCAAATATGTGAACTTGGTAGCTGACTATTCATCAAGATGTTCTTCACCTTTATGGAAGGAAGTGAGCTTCTATTTTTCTGAAGTTTCCAAGGCATGAACATAAAGAGATGTAGCTGCAGAGAAAGAAGAGCTTTTCTACTCCATAAACAAATGTTGCCTATTCTGAAAAGAAAAAAGAATAGTTAACTGAAAAAAAAGAAACAAAACTAAATGAGATTTTCTGCACTGTTACAAAGCCCAAGGACAGTTCTGATTTGATGCCTTAGCAATTTACATGGAATTTTACTCTTGTGGTTTCTCCAGAGTTCAGCAAAAACAAGCAACAGAGCAATAGACTATTTCTGAGCCACAGGAACCATTTTCAGAGCCCAGTGTATGTAGTTTCAAAATTCTTCACTTCTAACAGTATCCTATAAATGGACTGTAGAGAAAAAAAATCTTTTTCAATCTTTTATGCCAACTAAGTCTCATGGACATTTGGGGATTTCATTCACCTTCCAGAAGGGTATCTGGGCTCAAGGATCACATGTTGTGCAGGGATAAGCATGAACCAAAGGGTAGTGTTAGTGCTGATGGATAATTTCACTAACGTGGGCAGCGGAGTTGGTTTGAATATGAGGACACTTTAGCTCTGGGGTATGTTAACAACAGGGCCTGCCAGTTTCACCAGGAAACCTCCAACACTCAACAGCTTGGTATATCAAAAGCTTGCTCATCCTCAATTACAAAGAGAAAGTAAGACACTCACCTTTATGTTATTTAAATAAGTCCTGGAAATTTGAGATAACAGAACATGGCCTAGCCTTGACAATAGCAACAAACATAGAGGAGGGAGAGTGTAGCCAGTCAGTGGGACATGTTCCTTCAATTATGAAAATATTTCTACGCTTCATTGTGGGGATTTCTCTAATCCTGAGCAGAATGAACACAATTTGGAGCTCTTGGATTCCATGAATAGACTCTTTAGTAATCAGTTAGGCATTTTTTTCTAGCTATCCTTCTGTCTAAAAAGTGTAGTGGCAAAAGTACAAGGGAAGAAAACATGAGACATGAATTTGAGTTTCAGTGCTGCCATTAGTCCAGTTTATAATTACAGGCAAGTCACTTCACTTCTCTTTCCTCAGCTCCAAGATGTAGGCGTTTTATTGGCTAGTCTTCAAAATCTCTTTCAGCTCTAAAAGCCTCGACTACTTACAAAGGCTAGCCCTGGCTCCATCAGCTACTAATCTATGTACACTATTAAAATGATGAGGTCTTGTCTTTTAAATACGCTGTTTTAAGAACATATTCCCTCCTGGCCCCATACTGTAAACCTTTTGTTGTGCTAAGACATGCAAACAACTGACACTGAATAACATATTTATTCTTTGCATTTGACATGTCATATTAAAGGTTAGATGGCACATTGTTTTTTTTTTAATCAGTCATCTGATTATATTTCTTTACTGAAATTAAACCAAACTCATAATTAACATCCAATTAACACTACCAGGTGAAGTACTTTCGTGTTGTCTCTTTTCTAAGTAACAGTGATTTTCTCCTGATGGCCTTCTACTTCTTGGAAGGTCAGCAAGGTCCCCAATTCAGACTTTTGTTCCTACCTCAGCTGATTTATACCAATTTCTCCAAGAGCAATTTCCTTATATAAATTTCCTTTTTCATAGTGGTCACAGTTCTCTAGCTATATAATAAAAATCATGCAAATCTGGATTTTGCTTATGCTAAAGACCGGCTTATTTGAATTGGGGGACCAGTGTTCATTTACTTCAGTGTGAATGAAGCTTGATGCAATGTTTTTCAATGTGACTTCAGCTAAGCCTGCAATCGGCAGAACCTACAATACAGATTGCTATACTTACAAGTCTGATTTGTGACAACTGTGGCATCTAATTGTGTTTTCAGTTCTAGATTTAGCAGCTTCTCTAGCTTTATTCTTCTGGCCAGCTTTCGAATATGATTTTATGTACTCTTAGCAATCAGTCCATTTAATTTGGATTTTTGCTTTTTTCATCAGGATTCAAAATGTAACCCAACAAATTTTGGATGAAGTCTAAAATAGGGTTTTCTCTGATTCATACACACCAGTGAAGAATATAGGATTATATATATGCCTTTATATATAGTTATAAGTATATAGATATATATATATGTGTGTGTGTGTTCACACACATACAAATGGACTCTATGTGCATATATTCCTTCTTCCAAATCCCAATTGCCTTTTCTTTGATAGGTTTAATAGCAATGTAAAACTATATAATCTAAAAGATTTCTTATTCACATTATCATCATAATAATGTAAATCGTTACTACTTGTCACTTGGTTAAATTGAAAAGGATTTAAACATTCATTTTAAAACTCTTTTTAAATTACATTGCTTTTTCATAGAATTCTGCATAATAGAGAATAATATTTAGTCTATTATTTTTATCTTGAATGTTTTCATGCCAATTTCAGAAAAATTGTGACCCTTTTTTATAGCTCATTTGCCTAGAGCCATGGAGAGTAGTATTAAAATACTTTTATTTTTTACAGACATTAATTTCTGGGATAAGTACACATCAGTTGTAAGTGGGTTCAGTTAAATTTTTCAATGTTTAAATGTTGGATAAGATATCTTTTATTTGACCAGAATTTGTGGAATTGATCAGAAATCTGCATAACAAAACAGTATACTTGAATTGCTCCCTTACCAAGCTCTTCTCTATCAATAAATCGTAGATGAAAAATTTATTCTCAACATGGGAGAAATTACACTTTACATTTTTCACTAGAATTAGAAAAATGGATCAAAGGAAAACAGGAAATGAAAGCAAAGAAAAATAACTTGTGAGATTCTATCAAAATGCTGGTTATACTGGGAATTATTTGAGTCTCCAAACTCAGAAAAACTTGGGTTTTTTTGTTTCCTGTTTTTAGAAAGAAAATGACAATGAAAACAACCATAAAAAATGTAACATAGGAGTTTAGTTGAAAAAATAAAAAGAAAGAAGGAAAGAGGAGAGGAGAGGGGAAAAAAAAACCTTCCCCACACCTCCAAAGAAAACATTGGAATCTGCATATTCCACACTTACCTTCTGCCATAGAGTGAGGGATACGGTGTGTTGCAAACAGAGAAAGCTACAGTGAGGCAGGAGAGCAAGTAAGTTTTCAAATGTTTATCAGTAGGGGCTAAAACAAGCAGAGTTGGCCCTTCATTTATTAGAAAATTAAATAAATTAGGTTCATGTCCCAAGGCATTCTGATTAATCAAGGATATCTTTTTATTTAATAGTGAAACAACAGGGGGAAAAACAGTCTGTTTGGCAATTTTAACATTTGTCTCTATTTTTCTTTGAGTGGGCATTTCTATCTATCATTAGCTCAAAAAAACTAAACATTCATAGGCTAAAAATTACATAAGAGAACAACAAAAGAATGACAACTCTTTCCAATGATAGAACTGGGGCTTGGTAATTTTTATGAGTGTGAATACTGAGGTATTGAAATGGCAGAAGAGAGGAGGGAAAAGGCCTTTATCCAAGATGGCACATTTTAATGATAACTCACTTGTAAAGACCTACAAGTGCTTCTGAACTGAAATGTATCATTACTTCCAGCCTCCAAAACATTCTGTCAGTTTAACCCAGCTTTTGTCTTTTGAATCGTTCTGCAAGGATGGTTTTGAACTCTCAGCTACTCTCTCAGCCAATCACCCTCTAATATTTAATGAGCAATGAGTACATGAAAAATAGAGTCGTCTCAAGCCTAGGCCACGAAACTGTATTCTTTGCCTTTGTTTCCTCCTGTTGTCCTTGCTTTTTCATCTTTTCCCCACCTAAATAGAACCACACACACATATATATGTAGAAAAACTTCTCAAAACTAGTTATTTTCACAGGGGCCCTAGCATATGGCCAAGATCATCCTTTGTGATACTTTTTGGGTAATCCTGATATAATGTATTTGGCACAGAAATCAACTGGTTACTAGTTTACATAAATTCTATTCTATACAAATATTAGCAAGTAGAGCAATTTAGAGTATAACAAACAATGACCAAATTACAGATCATCTGCTAAAGAGACAGCAGAATACACAGACAATAGTCCAATGGGGTGTTCACGGGCATCACATGGTATAACACATGTTAAAGGACTCTAAATGAGAAAGTACTTTGGACATTAAGGTCATTATTATTGTTGTTATTATGGCATAACAACAGACACACTATGGGGAAAATAAATCCCTAGAAGGCAAAATCTCTGGTCAAGTTTAATGCAAGGAATCATTTCCTCTCCACGTCTAACAGTTGGCACTTGGCGATGAGAATGTAATGTTTGGAGAAACACATCTTGGGCCTATAAAATAGAAATTTGAATATACAAATATATATTATGAAGTATGATAGGATACAAATTGATGTAAAAATATGCTTTGCTTTCCCTGTTTCATTTCAAAAATCATATGGTTTTGTTGTTGGATGTTGAAGCAGAGTTAGTAAACCCTTTGGTTATGTTTTAGGAATGTTTTCACAGTATATGTTATTACAGTGTTGAAGCTGGTATCTTACATGTTAAGTAGCCTTCTGAAATATTTAGGACTCAACCAAAAATAACTAAACATTAATATAGATTATTATAATCACATGTTCAGTTATATTGTTGGTAGTAAGAATGGATGGTAAGAGTGGAAAGTCATTAAGATTTGCTACTTGGCCCATTTTCATTTACATGTTTGAGATAGTCAAGTAATCCTGAAGCGTAGGATGTCCATGAAGTCTTTGTTGTTAATTAGGCAGTGGCCTGAGGCTTTAGCTATAGGAAATACTGTAGAAAGATGGTATATTAGGAAGAGATATTTTCCCCTCCTTAGGCTAACTAGTAAGATACTTGCACCTTGATAGCAGTTCTTGGGTCAGTGTTTGACAATCAATCATTCTTCAAGATGGTGAAGCTGCCGAGATTCAAGAAGCCATTGAGTCAGTCACCTTGCCTTATGAGGCCAAACCCTTTTGGCTTCTGGAAGTTACTCACTGTTTAACAATTCTATGCAGCTATCTTGAAGGGTAATCTTCCCATTTCTTAGGTCACAGTTGTCATGTCACTGGGCTTCATCTCAATTCCAGTTAAATTATAAAGTGCGGTATATAGTGTTGAACCTCCAGAAAGAACATAATGAGCACGACCATCCTCCATGAAATGCCAAGTTTACATTACTAGCAGAGTCACCATCCACATCTGAGAGTGTACAGGAACTTGATAATCATTGTTGCTGTCTTTATCATCACCGTCATCTTCATTAGCATCATCAGCATCACAGTTGCAGGACGGTGATCACATGAAGTGATGCGGCAAGATAAGAAAAAACATTATCAAGACAATGTCCAGTTTGGATGTGTAAATGTTATCCTGTGCTTCTTGGCCCATTTAGCAAACACCTTCTTTTCAGTGATAAACCTATGCCCCCCATATGGGGCATGTTCATGAAGAAAATATTCATCACACTCATCTCTTCCTTGTTCATAGTAATGATAGGGGACTTTTCTATAGCCTTCTGTCCTAGAAAAGAAAAAAAAAAGAAAAGGAGAGAAAGATTGAGATTAAGAATGGAGCACTCATTTACAAGAATCCATTATGTGTCCAGTAAATGCATTTACTTACAAACCCATACATGATTCTTGTCCATGAACTCAGTTAAAAGCTATTATATATATTAAAGCTTTTAGGAAGATGTACCAGGTTCTTAGTGCTTTAATAGATCAAATAAAATTTATATATCATGCCAATTACATTCAAACTTATGGCTATCCTTTGAAACAGGAAATGACATATAATGGAGGAAACTTTAGATAGCCTCTTGCAGAACCTGAAGAAACTGATTTTTCACAGTAAGATATTGGGTTCATCTGAGCACCATTATGCTTATAGTTAGGGAAGAAATATTTGTTCATGAAGACTGTGGCTGAGAGTTACCATTTTGACATTCTGATTAAAACAGTCTGTGAATTATATTGTGCCAATCATTGGTAGGGAAATAGATTTCATTACCCTGATGAAGCATGGAGGACTTGTTTTATTATCTAATTAGAAACTATCCCACCCGTGAGGATATATTGTGGGTAAACACACTCAATTTAAATAAGGATCTGGCAGATTACTCACTTATTAGTGAAGTATACTTTCTAGGAATTCTTGTTAAGCTGTCAGTTTCTCCGAGGCTTTAGGACATTTTGTCCTTCATGATCAAATCTAAATAACCGTTGAGTAGATAGCTATCCATCAAGCCATCAGAGCAGCAGAAATGACAAAATTGCTTTTGCAAATTAAACAGCCACTAAACTTCTGTATTTTCAAGCCACAAGTCCCTGCTATGCCACTGATTAAGGGAAAAGTGTTCCTTCTGACATCTGACATTGGACTGGTAAATATTTTTCTTTTTATCACCCCTAGAAGTCACAACTTGATGCACTGACAATAAAATGTCATGTCAGCAAAGAACACTGGGAAATAATTGTTGCTTTATCTGTTTCTCAGATTTATGGTATTAAAATGAATTGTGATATTTTGACAAGATCTCAGAATTGGAGCTGCATACAAATAATTTCTTGTGATCTTACTTGCAGTAGGTGTCATTTATCATCCCGTAGACGTGAATGCCGTAACAGGCGTCCATGGCCAGAATGAAGGTAAACCACCCTGTGCTGAGATACGAGCCAGATTGGACTCTGAGAGGAATGAAAACAAACAAAACAAAACACAGAACACACACACAGAACAATAAGGTGTGTGAGAAATGAGTAACATTTCATCAAAAACATAGCACTTGTTATCAGGAAAAAGCATTGAGAAACTTGACAATATGTCAAAGATGCACACTTATTTTGAATTATCTCTGAATAATTTATAGGAATGCTCTTGCTCTTACTACCTTAAGCCTCAAAGCTATGTTGTGTGGAAGAGAAGCCATATGGAAAATATCTGAAGTCAAATAATCCTGCTCCCTTCAGGTGAACAATAATTTATTTAATTTTCCATAAGACACAAATTAGTGCTGTCTATCAGAGGAAAGGTTCTCTTAAAGTTGCTTGGAGCCCAGATGGGAGCTGAATGATAATAGTGCTCTCTTGCTTACCTAGACATATTATTACTTTCTTGAAGGCTGCTTGGGTTTCTAAGTATAACTTCCATGCAGTGTAGGTAAATAACTTGAAATGACAGCAACTGAAAAATTTAACTGCTTTCCAGGCATCATAAGACAAGACTTTTCCTTTTTAAGACCTATGTTACCAACTTCTGCAATATATATCTATTGAACAAGCTATATGCTAATCACTGTTCTGGAGACTGGGGATACAGCAATGATCAAAACAACCGAAGCTTCTGTCTTTGTGAAGGCCAGTGGATTGGATTTGGAGGCAGCTATGTTAGAAAGGTTGGCCAAGAAAGGCTCCTTGGATCATGAGCACAAAGATCTGAAAAAGACAGAGGGGAGGGTCAAGGAGGAAGAAGCCCCGTGGACCACATGAGGAAAAGGTATGTAAGGAAGAGAGAAGGGCAAGGACAAAATTACAGATATGGAACTATCCTTGGTATGTTCAAAGAAGAGCTGGGAAATGAAGGAACTGAGGGAGGGAGTGGTGATGTGCTCAGTTGCAGTGCTGATTTGGCATCTACCAAGTTCCACATGGTTCAAGGCAATGTTCAGTGAAAAGCTGGATCTCCATATTTGTCTTTAGCCATTGTGACTCAATCCATTCAAAGGAAGTGACTGCCCATCTCCTTAAAACTCTCTCCATAGGGGCATTTGAACCACCCCAATTTGTTTGACAGCTGTGTAGCAACAACTCTAGAAAAGATTAAGTGGTCTACTTTCCATCCAGACTTCTTGGCCTATAGGAGCACACCCAGTTCTACAAACTGACGCTTAGATACTGATAACCGCTCTCTGGATACAGCCCTCCAGCCGGTAGTTGCTCCCCACTGATGCTCAATATTGTTGATGCACATCCCAGTACCAAGCCATCAGTGTGCTATAATTATTGGCCTTGAATCCTTTGCTGCTGCTGCTTCTTTTTAACAGGCACTACTTAGTGTCAAATTACATAGAACGTGCCAGCATTTCAGGAAAAACACAAACTCACAGTGGGGGTTGATGATCAGATTTTTTAGCCTTTACTTTCATTGACTTTGGGTGATTTACAAGGAGAGACAAACTCAGCCCATATACATCCTCTCTGTATACTTGTCACTGAGTCTGAAACGTTACTACCTAAGTAGCCGTTCCTTTGCATCTTCTGGTGTATGGGAAATATTCCAGAAGCCAGATCACATCGAGTTACATGCACTTTCCTCCGTGGTAGTAGCAGCAACATGGGGCAGCAATAGATGCAAAATGAGTGGGAAGACGTCTCAGGGAGGCGAGATACACTAACGAACAACTTTGCTTTTTAGACAACTTAACCTGCCATCATTCTAGGGTCTGAGGAGGAGCAGACCATGTGATGGGAATTACTTAAAGCACCATCTGCTTAAAAAGCCCTTATCTGAAAATGAGGAGAGATCAGAAGAGGCAAGAGTCTTGACAAAATGCTCCCAAATCGAATCTAAACATTTTGTCCATGTACTGAATTTGTCTGGTTATTATTCCTATGGAATTGTGTACTCTTTTTTGTTTTCTCTTCTTTCTCATACTATTTTTTCTACCTTTCATTCCCTATTCTATTCTTCATTATTAGGCTGACCAAGCACTCATAAAGATCACTAAAAATTATGGCATTTGTTTGTTTCTACATGACGAGAGAAAACCAGATCTCATGTATTTACCCATCTATTCACTTTTTCAACAAACATATATTGGGATCCTATTACGTGCCACTGACTGTGCTGGGAGCCTGGTGATGAATATTTTCTGAAGAGCACATGGTCTAGTGAGGGAGGCACACATGTTAAAACAATTGATCACATTACAGTGCAACAAAGCACAGCCACGCGTTTCAGAGTCAACATGGAGCGTGGTCAGAATTGGAGTGAGAATATCTGGTTTCACACTGCAGCTCTGCCACTACTCGAATATGAGGCTTTGGCCACTTATTTAGCCTCTCTGGGTCTCATTTTCCTTGTGTCTAAAATAAGATGGTTGAACTAAGTCATAGTCAAGGTTTCTTCTAATTTAAAAATCAAATGATTCTGTGATCATCACCTTCCACAGTCAGTCTGTAGTTGTTTTAACCATTGTACACTACCATGCTCTGTGCATACTGGGCGTTGTAATGAGCAAACATGTGGATCAGTCAGATCACATTTCATGCTCCCTTGTGTGATGGGCGTGACACTAAATATATGGGTTATATATATAAAAGGATAAACTGGGTATAAAGTTTTATCTTGCAATGGGAGTGACAATGGTCACAAAACGTTTGTGGGGAGAACTCCATGATTCCGCCCTCTACACTGCCACTCATGGAAGCTGCTGCAATGGCTAGTGAAGGCCAAGGCCACAAATGAACCATAGCGCTAAGGGTAAAGGTGAATTTGAGTAAGAAAATATAATCATAATTGGGAAAATCATCCTCCCTTTGATGTGGTCCCTTCACAGAGGTGCTAATTATCAAAGACAAAGATAATATGATATCTCCAGGAAAAAGAGAAAGATCCTCTTTGCGACATATGGACACTTATTCTGCAAAACCAGCTCTCCTGACTCATTCTAGTCCAGCCCACACGGTCATTTCTGAAGGTTCATCATAAGCTTCCAGAACAGAGCCCCCAAAGAATAAAGAAGATACAATTGTCATAGTGGATTCTCTGTATAACTATGTTCTCTTTACCACAGGAAAAGAGGATCAAGAATTTCAGGGTCCGATATCTGGTCAAAGACGTCTGCATCTTACCACCTAATAAGGAAACTTCACCACATTTCTGATACATGATTCCTTTTGGGCCTAACCTGATTTGTTTTATTTCTGTGTAGACAGGCCATGCTAATTAGCTCAATAGCTCTTTAAACAAGATGTGTTGCATTTGATTCAGATGGGGGAGGCTCACACTGCCCAAGTGCCCTGTCCTACAAACAGCACTTAATTAGACAGTTGCACTTCCTTTCCCTGATGCCTCTGATATATTTGGGATGTGAAATGGCATGGGGTTTCCTACCCATAGTAGAAGCTGAGGCTAGCAAAGAAGTTTTTTCTCAAAAAAAAAAAAAAAAAAAAAAACTATTTGGAGCTAATGCCCATACAATGATGCTTGCAGTGGAATCATGACAACTGCTGGATGAATACAGGAATTCTTCCAAATAAATGCCTAGTAATCTGGGTCCCTGGAGGAACTCACTGGCCTGATGGCACTGGTTCTGGCACATCTTGTAGCTGCACCGTTTCCAAACTCTACTGGGCTGGTGTGTGGGCATACTAGAAATGAGAAAGTATAACTTATACCCAACTAGATCTTTAAGTAGATCTTTAAGTTTCAATAAAAACTGCAACAAAAAGACTTCACCTGATGTCTGTGAAATTATTTATGATTTCCAGCTTGGAAAGACTTAGTGATAACCATCAAATGCCTTAATGTGATAACTATCAAATGCCTTAAAAAATTCTTAAAGGGTCTCCTCTGGGGCCAAATACTGTCTCATAATTTGTCACTCATGCACGCAGCACTAACTATGCATCAGCTGGCCATCAACCATAGCACTTTTTTTTTACCCTCCACTTTTGGGGATCAATAAAAACAATTATTCTCATCCACAAATAAACAATCAAGATTCCCACAGGGATGATAAGAGAATTTAAGCCCCTAATTCAGTGCCATAGGAAAGCTTAAATTAATGCAGCAGAATAATGAGCCATGCAGGGGAAAATAAAGGCAGGAGTGTGAAGAGGAAGCCATCAATCCTTTGATTTTACTGGTCAGGCTCTGCATCCTGCTGCTCCTTGGTAATCAAGATACTTACAACTTGGAAACTACTTAAATTTACTTGTGCATCTCTTGGGAAGATGATGCTGTCAAGACCTTGATGTAGCACATGCTTGAAGGCATATCATTTAAGATACGATCTTTTATCTACTTTATTTCAAATAAAATATAAGCTACTTTACCCTTGATGTTTACCCCTATTCCTTCATGGCGAAAGGCTATCACATGGAACAGGGATTCCTTGTCTGTCCAGCTATCATGATGTTTATCAGTCTCTGTATCTTTGTCTGTCAGCAGCCTTCATTTGCCTGCACCTCCGTTTCTGAGCACACTCTGTCCCCTTCCCATTTCTGGAAACATATTGTGAAGCACTTTCTTCCTATTACCTGGCAAACTAGAGACTTCTGAGTGACATTTCCCTTTCAGATAATTTCAGGGGAGGAACTGAGGACATGGAAATGGCTACTCTTCAAATGAGAACTGGATTATGTTGGATTTATTATCTGTTCACAAAATGCTCTGCTAATTATTGAATACCAATAGCTCAATGAGTTGGGTTCCGAACTCAAGAAACTCGTACTTTGATGACAAAAAGTTGTAGCAGTTTCTCTAGATTAGGGTTTCTCAATCTCAGCACTATTGACATTTTTGGACAAGATAATTCATTGTTGTGGGGTAGCTGCCCTGTGCAGTTCTCTAATACATTTTATCAGATTCCCCTCTGCTCCAAGCTCATCTGGGACCTAAGAGGGCAGTAGATTTCCTGACTTCCCAGGGCCTACTCTTGCCTTAGGGTGATTGCTCTGAGGGT